TGCTGACAGGTGACTCCTGTCAGAGGACCTGGGACCACCTGCTGACAGGTGACTCCTGTCAGAGGACCTGGGACCACCTGCTGACAGGTGACTCCTGTCAGAGGACCTGGGACCACCTGCTGACAGGTGACTCCTGTCAGAGGACCTGGGACCACCTGCTGACAGGTGACTCCTGTCAGAGGACCTGGGACCACCTGCTGACAGGTGACTCCTGTCAGAGGACCTGGGACCACCTGCTGACAGGTGACTCCTGTCAGAGGACCTGGGACCACCTGCTGACAGGTGACTCCTGTCAGAGGACCTGGGACCACCTGCTGACAGGTGACTCCTGTCAGAGGACCTGGGACCACCTGCTGACAGGTGACTCCTGTCAGAGGACCTGGGACCACCTGCTGACAGGTGACTCCTGTCAGACCGATGCCTCGTCCTCGAAGACTAAACAACAAGAACAACAACTTTATAACATCTGCAGATGATAATCTCCTTCTAAATTACAGACCTGCAGATTAGAACCTGCTTGTTGTGCATGAAGTTAAAACAATAATCTGCTTGTCTGTTTGTGCAGAAACACTTCTGAATATTTTCTAACTAAATGTTATAAATTCTATAAACAGTGAAAAAAATCCTCTTCTACTTCCTGCTGGTTACTGTTCACTCTGACTCGTTTCCTAATCCCAAGCAGAGATTAGAACGTCACTTTGCTAAGGCCCACAGCATCCTGGTGTGTTTGTTATTAGCCTGTTAATAAAAATGTTTTCTAAAGCTGCTTTGTTAAACTCTGAGGCTTCGCTCAAACCTTTTTAACCTTTTCCAAACGCTCAGCTTTACAGACACTGAAACTTTATAAATCATTCAAATATTTCGTACTGTTTATAGACACAGCAGTGTGTGCTGAACATGGGAAACACCGAACACAACGACTGAGTTAAGCTGGATTATAAAATCCAGCTCTGGCTGCAGATTTCAGGCGGTCTCTCTCACTGCGACTCAGAAAAARGGGCCAATCTTTGAACCTTCGTCCTGAATGGACCGTTTTAGAAAATCACATCTCGTCTGACCCGCCTCGGCTCGCTTCATTATCCTTTCTCTGTGGCGTTTCTGATTTAATCCAGCTGAGAACATGTAAGAAATTAAGATTAACTGCATGGTTTGCATACGTTTACTGTGAGAGGAGCAGCTRGTGAAACTCCCGCTCTGTGATTTCGTTTTGAGAAATTTAGATCTCCCACAAATAGACTTTCCAGAATCCTGCTGGTTGTTGTTTAAAACAGGTGAATTACCAGTGTTTCCAGTTAAAGGTCAGTCTGTTCTGCTGGGAACAAATACAAACTGAAGTGTCTCTCAGCACTTAAAGTACTGCTCAGAGAAGCTGGCAGGTCAGTCATTATGTAACGTCTTCTCTGCTGCAGCTGCTGCCTTCTCTGGATGCATTTATTAGTTTTACACCTCAGCGCTCCGAACAAGCAGAGCAGACAGATTATTAAACAGATTATTTCACAGGTCGCTGCAGAAACTGGATTTTACCTTTTCAGCAATTTGTACATATCTGAGGAGGAGTTATAAAGCCAGTCCACTTTAACTGTAAATATGTTGATGTTTAAACTCGTCAGGCTGGCTTTACGTTTGCTCAGAGGCTTTACTGATTGATGAATTGTTTTGTTTTGTTTCCTCCAGGATTCAGTCGTGCTGCTTGAATCACCAAGTAAAAATAAAAGGCAGAAAACTGCAGCCAGACTTAACGTTTATTGTTTAGTTTTATTTCTTGTGCGTCTGTGAAAAGCTGCTTTTTGTTTGATTTGTTCCCAGAATGCATCATTAATTATTCTGTATATTTTGTGTAATAAATAAAAGGAAAAGAGAGCGTCCTCGTCTCGTTCTTTTTTTGTCTGAATATTTTATCTGTCAGGTGCCTCAGCCGAGCGGGGAAGGTAAAATCTGAAGTTATAAAACAGATGAGAACTGATTTTAGGTCATTATGTGAAAATGAATCCTAGCTGTGGTGGCCATCTTTAACTGTGTGAGTTTCTGAATGTAAATTCAGTGATTAATCAGTTTTTGTCAAAGTGTATTAAACTGCTGTGTAGTTATCCGAGTGTGTGGTCTGTGTGTCTTAAATTCCAGCTTATCCATCGTCAGGTCTCAGAGGCAGCAGGTCCACCTGTAAGACCTCCAGGTGTTCTCAGAACTAGGGTTGGGCAGTATTCGCAAAATAACTAATCCCCATTAATTGTGGTATTTGGCCGATAACGATTAATTTGACGATTAATCCCTGGACACACTTATGTCCTAGTCACATGACTAATTTAGTGGAAAAGATTTGCTCTTCATAAAATCTGTTCCAGATTGTGTCAAAATTACAGACATCCACAGGTAATTGTGAGCCATCATCGAAATGAGGATTAAGTCAAATTTGGTCAAAATGACCTCATTACATTTTCAGYTTCTTGTCTTTAAAAGCTACATTTTGATACCTGGATCATCCTGATATCATAATTAAATCCATATATATGACTTAATTTGTCTTGTTGGTTACAATAATACATAAATATTTGATCTTAATCCTAATTTTATCTCATTTTAATGAGGAATTTTTGATGTCCTTATAAAGAGGAAACCTCAAATTATATTTGAATATTGAGATTTCTCAGCTAAAAAGAAACAAAACTTTACTAACTCACAGAGAAAATCTCTAAATTTTAAGGAGTTTTTCCTCAAAATCAGGTTTTTTTTGTTGCTACTGCTCAAAAAAGTGCTTCAAATTTAGTTTTATGATTATATTTCAGACAGTTCATTCAAATGATACATTAATAAGGCTTTTATTCATTATATTTTGACAAAAAGCTATTTTTGTTAACATTTTAGTCAAAACACTATATTTGCCTATTTCTTCTTATACAACTTTTGGACTTAATCCTCGTTTCGATGTGACGGCTCACATATACATCAATTTTTTAATTGTGTTGATATAAATAAATTACAGAACTTTTTTTAGTGTTCATCATACTTAAAGCGGAGAGGAGCACCGAGCAGACTGACTGGAGAAATATCCAGTCAGTCTGTATGGTGGCATTAATCTTAATCATCAACCGCCAAAAAATAATCGATTAATGTTTTTCTGACAATCGCACATGATACYATTCTGCCCAACCCTACTGAGAGCAGAGAAGATGTATAATGCCTGCAGACAGTTCTGAGTCTACACAACAGAACCAGAAAACCTGTCAGCACAATGACAGATGTCTGACAGCACAAAGGTTCTGGGTTCAATCCCCAGTTTGGACCTGAGGTCTTTCTGTTTGGAGTGTGCATGGTCTCCTCGTGCTTGTGTGGGTTTTCTCCAGCTACGATTTCCCCCCTCAGAACAAAAACATAAATAGGCTGCCTRCTGGCCCAGYCCTCCRTAACAAAACAGATCTGTGATCCCAGGTTAGCCTGCGTAAATAAAATAATAAACCTTTAATCATCCCTCTTTAACCTTTAATAAACGGATAATAAATAAAAACCTCCAAAAGGAGGTGTCCTGAAACCACCTCAACCATTATCCCCCTTTCCATTGTCATCTCTTCCAACGAATCACAACCTGCGACAGGACCCTGCGTACGGTTTCCCAGAACCATCCTGGGGTCTTTCTGAATTCCTCTCTTGCTRGAGTTTTTGCATCCGCGACCATCAAACCCCTCTGTCCTGGCTCGTCTGTACATGTTCTGGTTCTGGATTCTTCTTGGATAAGCCCAGACTTGACCAGCCTTTCTCCTGGCTGCGATTCACCAGGTGAACTCCACAACAGGCTGCGATCAGCCTCAGGCCACAGCTGAATCGGTCACGTTGACTGAGTTAGATCTGTTTTTGTGTTTTAAGTTCTTTAAACTGGATTGATGATTTGAAAATGTACAACCAATGGTCACTTTCTGGATGGATGGACATTATTAACCCAACATTTTCATCCCTCTAGATTTAAAAAAGGATCTCAAAGGTGATTTAATTTTCACTCCCTCTCATTATAAAAGGTTTCCAATCAGGAGCTTAAAAAAATCTGTTTCATTTCCCCTGCAAAGCCCAACCTGCTGCAGTGGAGAGTGAGAGAGAATAAAAGCCGGTGTTTGAGTGGGGGGGTGAAATGCCGAGTCTTTTTATAGAAGAAATGTGGAGGACTGCTCACTTTTGAAAAGCTGTTTATGTAACAGCAGACAGCATTGTTCCACATGAGAGCCTGGTTACAGCATCACATCTCACACCAGGGCTTCTGGCATTTCACTCTACCTGAAAACATTTTGTTCAGCTGTCAGGAGTCTCCTTTTATCAGTCCTGAACAACAAAAAATGACATCATTTCCCTTCATCTGTCATCTGTTTTATAAAATCTGAATCCTTTTAAGAAGATGGGGTTAGTTTCTCATCAGTGTTGGCTACAGTTTTTTTGAAACAAAGATGGATCGATGGATTGGGGCCTTGTACTCAGTAATGAGGGCGTTGCTTCAGTCTGTTGTGGTGAAGAATGAGTTGAGTCTTGATTCACTGGTTCATCYACATACCAGCCCTCACCTGGTCATGAAGAACAAATCATGACTGAAAGAACAAGATGGTGGATACAAGCCGCCATTAAGCTTCCACCATCAGCTCTGACATCTGTGGAGACTTCAGAAGCTGTCAGGTGTACTGGGATGTCTCCCTGWAGATGTTCAGGTCTCACTGGGAAGAGACTTTAGGGTTGGTCCCTTCAAAAACCTGTCATCAAGGCAAAATCGAGTCCGAAATGGACGAATCTTTGTGAACAGTTTGTATATTAATATTATTCCTTTAGGGATATAGTATGTGGTGCCGTTTGTAAAGTTACACAGTCAAAAATTACCACCAATATATTTGTTTTATTTAACC